ATAAAAATATTAAAATTAGTTTTATTAATTCTATTTATTACAAAAATTAATATTTAGTTGGATTTCCTTTATTCTTTAATACTGCATTAATTCTACGTGGCATACTTTCTATCAAATTATTAATTATTTTTGAATTAGTTTTATACCATTCATCTTTTAATAAACTAAATAATTCCTTTTTATTTTTTACTTTTATTTCATGTTTTCTAATTCTTCTTTTTAATTCATTCCATAAATTTTCAATTGGATTAAGGTCTGGACTTTGAGCTGGCCAGGGAAGAACATCAATATCATTTCTTGTTTTCCAAGTTCTTGCTGTAATTGCTGTATGACATGGTGCATTATCTTCTTGAAATATAAATTCTTCATTATTATTATTTTTTAATTCATTAATAAAAGGTATCAGATATTGATCTAGAATTTTAATATATTTCTCTGCATTTAAAGTACCATCAATTAAAACCAATGGTCCCATTTTATTTTTTGTAAAACATCCCCATACCATAATTCCATCTGATTTTTTTACTGTTGGATTTAAACATTCTATATTATATTTTTGATCTGGCTTTCTCCAAACCCAATCATTAGAATTATTTTGAAAAATCTCAAATCTACTTTCATCACTAAATATAATTTTATTCCATTCCCCATTCCAAGACTTTCTAAAATTACACCAACCTAATCTTTTTTTTCTATTTTTTTCTGAAATTAAAGGTTTTTTTATGGCTTTTCTTCCATAATAATTTTTAGAGTGTAAAGTATTTCTTATAGTTTTATCACTTACTGAAATATTTAATTTATTAAGTTCTTGAATTACTTCATTTATTGTAGATTTGGGTTTTTTTTTAATTATTTTTATAATTTGTCTATCATCACGTTCTGATAATTTTTTAGGTCTTCCTGATCTTTGAGCTGCAGAAGTTTTATTTTTTTTAAAATAGTCATTTATGGCATTTTCAACTGCTTTTCTAGATCTTTTTAATATTTCAGCTATTTCTCTAATGGAATGTTTAGCTTTTCTTAATCCAACAATTTCATCATGTTCAAATTCAGTTAATTCTTTACCTTTAGGCATTTTAAAATATTATTAAAATTAAAATATAATATTTAAATTTATATTTAAATTTATTTTTTAAATGTGCAAATAATTTTATTTTTATAATTATAAATTATTAAATAATAATACCTTTTTAGGAATTTTATTTAAAATATAATTAATTTCTAAAATAATATAAATTTAATACTTTTTTTGATTTTCATTTAAAATATAATTAATTTCTAAAATAATATAAATTTAATACTTTTTATTGATTTTCATTTAGTAAATAGATATCAAGGATAAGCCAAATATTTTATAGAGACTATCAGATGACACTTTTTTTAGGAATTTCATTTAAAATACAATAATTTCCAAA